CCTCTGTTTCTAACTACATTGCGTGTATACGAGCTAGGTAGGTTTTGTTTAATCAATATTACCCAACAAAATTTATTGTATTAACTCTAGTCGTATATATCCACATTTTATGTATTAAAATAATAATAACATTATAATAAAAATAACCATTCATTTAATATGAATCATTTTCATACATATCCATTCCCTACAAATAAAACATAAAAAATCATCGTAAAAACGTTTTCGGCCGTGGCAAATGGAAATTTAAAATGGTGGCACTTCACATCGTTATTCCATTCCCAAGCATTTGCTGTCTTTAATCTTTGAAATTTATAACAATATGTTTAAATGTAGTGTAATTATGCACTGTAGTGCAATGTAGTGCATTTATTACAGTATGTTTAAATGTAGTGTAATTAAAAATATTCTGATATTTTTCATTGCCAATAAGATTATAAATAAACTATCTGCCACACAAAATGTTTCTAACTATCTGTATCATAGTTTTACAGTCTTCAATACAGCTTTTACAAAATCAATAATACAAGTGTGTCTGTCTGCAGACACAAAAATATATCGTCAGTCATCATCTAATATAGAGAAGAAGGAAGTTTGATTATTAAACATTTGATATATGCATTACCCGTAAGTCTACATACATAAAAAGTGATAATCATTTTCGTGCCTCCTATGGTATAGCTACGTAAGAATAATGGATTACACTGTCACAATTCGCTGCAAAATTTCTTATAATGCAATAGGGTAAGGGCGTCATTACTACTGTACAATAAAAAGTTCTAATCTCTCTGGAATCCCCAGAAAATAGCATTGCGGACCATAACCAGGCAACCATTTAGCCACCATTGATTTATATCATCATTTAAAATCTTAAACGTTTAAAGTAATTATTTAATTAAAGTTTAATCTGTTTAAAAAATGAATGTACTACTCATTCGAAAAATGCTGTACTTGCTTGGTATTTATTCTAATACATTCTGTGTTGTGCAAGATGGCGGATAAGATAAGACTCGTTCTGTTTCTTATTTAATGTTCTCTTGAGTCAAAAGAGCAAAGTGCACGCATTACTATAAAACAAAATTATCCAATATTTCAGACAGAGAATTGTCGACTTCCGCAAGAATTTGTAATCAACGTCAAGCTTACGAAGCCCTTCTTCTTCTTTGAACATAAAGTTACGACAAATGAACTCGAAGCAGTAATTGATTTAACTGCCCAAATATCATTATTCGTTTTATAATAATTCAGATAAGATACATTCATTACTAACTTTAAACCACAAAATAATGGAATTATAATTTACATATTGCGACTTATATCTTCATTACATTCTGAAAAAGACTGGAAATAAATATTTCATAACGAAATTTGTACATTCATTCTAGTCATTTCTCTGTAGATTTGATCCGTAATTCTAATGTTTATGCGGATGTATCCTACATATTTAAAGATTTATGATGTTTATTTAAAAAATCGCTTGGATATAAAATTCTCATTACGTCAGAGTAAACTGCACTTTCGCATTGGAAATTATATTTCTGGAACTGAAAGAAAATTATAAAGAGAGTTACAGCAGTAAAAGCATATTAAATTAAGGGATTTCATTCATTGCAACAATCGTTATGGAAAATTACTCTTCTTTCGGTGCGTTCAATTCAATTTTGTGAGTCTTATTTTTACTTATTATCAGATAACAGATCCATGAAAATCCATAGAAAGCAAAATTAAGAGAGTTTCTGAAAGCTATAAGAAACCTTAATTCTAATACAATAGATCACAAATTGATTTTCATTTGTTTCATTATTCGTTATTTCGGAAACAATATATTGAAAGTGACCTAAAACTGGTTTTAAAATAAGGTATTTAAAATTATCTAACTATTACAAAATATCGAAATATTCATGAGGTTTCTTAATCTTATTGTTATTTAATAATAATATGAAATATAATTACTAATTGCCAGCTAACGTCTTCACATATGATTAGTTGTACATATGATGTTAAGTGGTTGTCGCACCCATAGGGATGTGTAAACCAAGAATACATGTTTTAAGGGATTACTCATCAAGAAATAAAGTTAGATGGTTAGCATCTAATGTCTTTCAACAGGACACCCTGTATTTATCCACTTTATCATCAGGACATCCTGTATGTAGTGGAAAAGCAGTAAGTACTATTTTAAAGAGTTACTTTTATTGCTATATTAAGGTATCTTCCGTACTCGCTTTCGTGGTATAGGTGGTTAGAAACCAAAGCTAACAAATCCAGCTAACAAATCGAAGGTCAATACTTCCGGTCCCGAAGAGGGCACCGTAGATGCATCAAGCTTTCGTAAGAAAAAAACATAAAAGCATTTAAAAGTTCTGGTTTCTCGATATCTCGTGCCTTTCTTATATTCTGGTATCTTATTTTTAATAATATTTATTTTATTCCACAAATCATGTATTTATTTCTTATCCGATATGTAAGAAATATCAGCTCTTTTTGTCATCCATAAAAAGTAATATTTTTTTAAAAAAAAGGAGATCGAATTTCAGTGATAACTTTTTATCTTCCTCTTAACATTCTGGAGCAAAGAAAATACACAAATTGATTTCCTAGAGTCAGATAACAGACTTCTACCTAGAATGATAAATAAATAAAAGAACGAAATAAATATCAGTAATTCCATAAAATGTCACGTGCTTTCAATTCTCTTTTGGATGGATGAAGAGCGAAAACTCTACATTCCCCAAAATAAAAGAAATTTCCACGCAATGCTTCTCTTGTTTTCAACTGTTGCGTGAATGCTTTTAACAGAATAAAAGATATCTGCCAATCGGATTATTTCTATCTTTCCACCAACAGATAAGAAAAGGAAGTTTAAGTTTTTATTTCTCGAGATGAAAAATGAAACTAAATTGGCAGATGTTTTTGATGGTGAATATCAAGTATCATACTGAACAAAAGGCTATGCAAAATGTGCCTGTGCCTTATCGTTTTCAGAATTGTTTTTGCTGTAATTAAATTGTGTTTAAGAACTCTTTACAGGTGGAAAATATTTCATATGGAAAACCCTAGATATGCTGCATTTTCGAGAAGACTTCTTAATGAAATAGAAATCATAGTTAAAAAATATGTGATCATATTTGTCAAACTAAAGAAGTAATATAGAACAATTTTACGAATTTCGAAGTGCTCTTGTTGAATGTTAAACATATTCATACCCTACAATATTTTGTTTAACCCGTTACTAACGAGCTAAGCTCTTTGATGATGATATTTGAAAGCAATAAAATGTATGAAAATCTTAATAAAATGGTAAAAAATGTAAAAATACTTTTTTAAGCGTCACATAAATTACCGTTTTGTACTGGATACATATATGGTCCTATGGTCCCGAAAGTGCTGCTATATTTTTAGGTGCATATATATGCATATCTTTTCCAGCCGATAATTTACGTATATTTTCGAATAGATTAGGTTATCTAAATATGGTCAAGCACATAAGGGATATCTGCTTAAAGGAAGGCACGCCTTCGTGGAACACGTTTTAAGGGGAGTTGAATCATTCATGTCACAGTGGGTAAAACTAATAATGCAACAAGCCATTTCGTTTGGGATCGAACCTGGTACGAACCACGGTATTCAGCAGTCCTAACATTCGGCCATTGGTGGAGCCGCATATTTTAGAAACCATGCTGCTTAGGATTATAGGTGGTTTTAGAAACGTGTTTGATGAATTATTCTATTCATGTCAATGTTTATAAATATAAGAGTTTTGATGATGTTTTGTGGGTTCATTACGTATAAAAATTTGTTTGCCTTTATATGTACGTGTGTATTATGCATCTAATAAATTAGACAAAAGTTGTGAACTTTTAAACTTTTGTAAAGTTTGAGAACTTATAAATGAATAATCAATGAAACGAATCTCTACAAAACAAATAAAGCATTTATTTAACATAAATGTTGCCATAATTCGTATCTTATGTGTTCTGATCGTGACTTGACAGTTAACCTGATAGGAAAAGTTAAAATTGAACCACACACTTATTCACCAGATTTTTCTGCGTCACAAGTCGATCCAAAAATGAAGCGTGACAGCCAAGAATGGCACTTCTTAAATTCATCAATACAACGAAACAAAAGTAAAAATGAGAGAGTTGAAGATCAGAAAGCAGCTGTTTGTTTTTTGGACGGCCTAGAGAGTCATCCACAAAGGGATTATGCCTCCAACCCGAACGATAAACCAACACTTTTACTGAGAAGTTCTGGAAAGACTTCGAGAAAAGGCTCATGTGTGTAAGACCGAGAATCAGGGCCAGCGAGGTACTGCATCACGGCAATACAGCTTGTCACACTGAATTTTCTGTTAATGCGTTTTGGGCAAGCAAAAACTTCCTGTGGTTAACTCAGCATCTTTATTCCCCCTAGGTGTGTTCATGTGACATTTTTCTATTTCCAAGATTAAAATCCCACTTCAAAACCACCTGAAGGCAACTCAAACATGCGAGCTCGAGCACTACTATGAAGAGTGCTCTACAACATTATGTGGCTTCCCAAGATGCTTATTTTGCAGAAGACATTAAGTGACTGTAATTTTAATTGAATAAATAGTTGTGAAACAATTTGCATACGTCGCATTCTGTAACTTCCACACAAAGGCTAAAATGGAATTGGCGAATTATCCGTCTGAGGCAAACGTGGGAAGTCACGTGCCTTGCCAAATGATATTAGAAACATGAATAGAGGGAATATTTCTAGGTTTGCCTTTTGACACTGCATAGAATTCTTACAAAATATATGAAATATTATTGTTTTTCTTACTTTGACATCCAGTTTTCGGTATTCTATATGCTGCCTAGGAATTCTATAAAATATCTGTTTTCATTAATTGCCGGTAACATTGAATATTATTTGGCTATTCACCCCCCTCCGAACATTTCCATAGCGATCATGCTTTTCGTGATAATAATTCATGATAAATATCATATTTATTGAATTTTTTTTAGGCCAGGAGCAGTTGTCCAGTTTCATTTCTTTGGGGAAAAGGAAGATAGCCACCAAGCCAAGAGCATCATGGAGGAGACGCTAAAAAGCAGATCTATAGGAAAATATACTGTTGACAGAAACTACATAAGTTTCGAGTGGGAACCAGGTAAGCAATTATGTAAATACAACAAAACAGAAATGCAACTGTGTTGCGATCAATAATGGAAGCCTAGTACCTAAAATCAAAAGCATGTTATGCTACATTTTAATGCGTAAGTCATCGCTATATGAAAGAAGTGATTACCACGGTAAACATTTCAGAAAAACAATCATTTGTAAGCTGAAACATAAATATATGTCTACAAATAAGAGATTCTCAAATCCTTTTTCTTTTCAAAATGAAAATCACTGTAGAATTTTGAGGTATTTAGAAAACGTATATTTAATTGCATGATCATTATTGCCACGAGAATAACCAGTAATTGAAAGAAATACCGAAAAATCGTGTAAAAAAAGATAGATACTGTTTCGTTATTTATATCAAATTAAAAGTATTTGTTTCAAAGTTGATGCTGAGTCCAAATTTTATGCATCAAATATGTATTTTTAGAATTAAACTGATGAATTATACGAGTTTCTTCACAGTTAGTTCACTTTCCATGACAAAGATTTCATATCATAAAAACAGGGTTTACGGTTTTAAATTAAAGTGCGGTTAAATAATGGGTATTTAAATATCGCTAAAATATGTTGTTGTGACTTATCTCACTTGTCTGACAGTAACATCAGAACACGCCTACGAAATTCCTTCTGGCAAGGAGTGCAAGACTACGTCTGTTATTGGCAAGAGCCTTCAGCACCATACAGGGCATATTTGCTTAGTTCCGCTCTTAAATGTGACGGAGAGTACACTGGGAAAATGGGTCCGAGAGTCTCTTACCCCTTCTTCCCCTAACACCAAACTCTCGAGAGGACGTTCGGCTCCCCTCGTATTTAGAGTGCCCCAAGACTGCACTGGTCCTTTACATTTACAAGCATCCATGCATTTTTGGGGTTTGGACCCGGGCACTTCGGTATAGTCCCTAGCTTCCCTAACCGCTATCCCGGTAGGTCGGAAAAATACCTAATTAGATATAATTAAATACTTTTTTTTATTTATCTTGTATTTTTAACAAACTAAACCTTCGTCTACAAAACGTTACGATAACATCTCTCGTGATATTCAGTTGCACATGCTACTTAAACATTTTTTTCCTTGTAGTAATTCATTCTAATGCATGATCGGAAAAATCCTTGTTTACTTTTTAAGCAAACCAGTTAATTGCCACTAAAGAAAATCACAAAATATTAACAGCGTACAGTGAAAAGTGGATTGAAGTATCCTGGAAGCTATCATTATAAAAATCAATAGCGCCGCAAATTGTTTCAGAAACGATTTATTTCAACCTATGCAGCGAAAACCGTCCGTTGCCTAATAATCGAGAGTACATTATAAGCGCTAACAGCCCCATTTATTTAGAAATGAAAATCTCCGTATTTACTATTTTTCCCTAGAGAAGTGTTATTTCTCACTTTTCAACTCATTATAGATATTTTCAACTCATTATAGATATTTTTAGCCATAAACGTTCTCGCTAGGATACAGCAAATGTGTTCAAATGACGCAGTGCGTAAACGGTACAAAGTTTTCGAAGCTTATACTTTGAGTGCTTTATAAAAGGGTGCACTTAGCTGAGATTAGTGGATTGCAATGAAAATGAAACTAGAACCAGTTTCCATCAGGAACAATTCAGCACAAATTTTCCTATTTGTTATGTGCTTAGGTGCTAGAATAGAAAACTACTAAGTCGTAGTTTTGAGTTAGTATATGGGTAATATAGTCAACGTTGTTAACATACCTCCGTATGACTAAACGAGCATCAGAAATAATTTCAGTGGAAATTATGTATTCTGATAATAAAACAGAAATGTAATTAATTGTAATGGACCTGACTTATTGATATGAAGACATGATTAATGGAGATAATACATTTCTGTAAGCAAACTTAAATAAGTCTTATTTTTCCATTCCATTAGTGGTTTAATAGTGACCGAGGGGTAAAATCGCTAAACAATGGGAGCGAGGAGGGGTCAACCAGCGTCAAATTCTGATGAACGGGGTATCTGCAAGGGCATTTTCGTAGTTTTCCCACGTGTAACAAGTTAGTTCCCTTCGAAAATCCTTCACTAAAGCATTCCTTCCCTTGAAGAGGTAGCCATCACCTCCTGCTATGCCATAATCAAACAAACCAAAACAAACTGTTCTGATTATTACTGAACTGCGATTTATCACATATTTTATTCAAATGTTATATTTATAAAACTGTTTCTCTAATAAAGCATTGCTCTAAAGGATAAGATAAAGAGAAATTGTATTTCTCCTTAAGTAAAGTTTAAGTAAAAATAAAAGGAAATTTGACTTTATTTTACTTAGTAATTAAAAAAGGAATTTACTCTGATTTTCTTAAACCTTTTGGCCTGCTGTAATGAATTAATATTAGTACATCAATTCGAAGTATACGAAAACTAGCCTAAAAATAGGGATATATTCGTGGAGGGCATTATAAAGGAAACTGCTTCGTATTTACGTTACAGATAAGGCAATTCATTAAGTCCCCCGTGCGATCAATGGATTCACCCATACTCCTGCTACTGTTCAGTCGTTTACACTGCTTGGCCACTCATAGGGCCTGCAGTGCGTTCCTGAAATCTGTTTTCTTAGAATTATTCGAATTATTATTATAATAATTGCAGTTTTGGAAACAAGGATGGCATTATATATTATTTGAATCAATGGTCAGGAATGGTTGCAAGGTTAGGTTATTTAAATATGGCATATATCATTTAAACATGGCACAGGGGATATCTGCCTAAGGTAAGGGATGCCTTCGTGGAGGACTTTCTAAGGAAAAATGGTTCATATTCACGTTAAATATGGGAAAAATTGACCATGTAGCCAGTGCAGTCGCCTAGAATCAAAACTTCCAGTATTCATCGGTCTCAAAAATTAGGCCCTAGTGGGGCGTTACATTTGCAAAATTTAGGGTGTAATTTTTATCCTCCGCTCTATGAACACGTATGTAATATAAAAACATACTAATGACTGAAAAAAATTTTGATAACATAACATCACACTCAAGCACATCTTTTATATTTTATGTTATTTGTATTTCTACAATTTATTAAACAAGAGAGAAGAAAACGTTTCTATAAACATAAAGAAGACGATCACATTTATAATACATTAGTTCACTGCTTTATGTTTATCTACTCTGTTTATGTATCCTTTTATAAATGTTCTCGATTTCCTGTCTGTACTTACTTCGATATTTTCATAAGCTATGCAAATACAAAATATTCATTTAATGCATCATTAATACTCTAAATGAAATGTAAAGCACCTTCATAGTACATTTATGGAATATTTAAGCTAGTAAATGGTAAACTATGTTATTTTCCGCTTACGTTTTATGTATTTATGATATATCTAAATGTTTTTCAATATTTTCTTAGCTTCTAAATAACGTGATTTATCCAAAAGTTTTCTAAACTGAATAATAACAGTTTCCTGCTATAAATATTTATTTAATCTGTACTATCATTTTTAGAGTGTATAATTCAGTTACAAAATGCCTTCCATAGCCCAAAGTAAAACATTTATTTACAAACAAATTCTTCTGAAATTTTAATATAAAAAGATATTTTGAGTGCCGCATTAAAATGTTTTATGAATCTTAAATCTTAATGTTTTATGAATCTTAAAGTTATCCTACTGATTTTGCATTTTTGGCTATAAACAAGTTATAGATTCAAATGTTATTAAAAATGTAATTTTGTTATATAACAAAATTTTGCTATAAAACAAAATTATGTTACTATAGATATACCACGAAAAAGAGAAATAAGTATGCTGCAAAATCTGATCTTGCCAAGAAAATCAGTACTTTGCAAATTTGAGAAATGCTTATAACTTCCCCTCTGGCTCTTAACTTCGATACTATCAACAAACAGCATTTTGTTTAGAGTCTTAACTTAGCTGCAATGTACATAAAATTGAAAGGTCTGTCAAAAAGTACTTACATTCTACTGTAGCTTGATAATATTAAGAACTAGAGAAAGTGGATTTTCTAGATACAAGGACTGGTCCTTTTGCCTTTTGAAAACGGTCCTCATTTTCGTACGATCCGTTTGCACTACCATAATTGTATCTATTATAAGATTGCATGTCCATTCCATCAACTATCTTCAGTGGTATCAACTTCCTCCTTCTTCAGTGGTTTGCAACCCAATGAACAGAAAATTTTCTGCGTTCCAATCGTTGGATAAACAATAAAAAAATTCCTTTTGCAATACCAGTGTGCTCTATGACCTGTCTAATAGTGATAAATTTGTGAATTTAGATTCAGTCTCCAGTTACTAATGCATTTTCATCGGTTTCGACGGTTGATTGTCCACGTAACCGTAGCTGGTCGTAAATGTTGCAATCAGCACTAGAAAATCTTTAAGGTTATTGACACACATTACTTCGAATTGTTATGTTTCCCCACAAACTGGCAAGAATTTACTGTAAATCGATATTGCTTAGTTATCTCCGGATTTATTGAGGATTTCGGTCGGTGCTTTGTTGGCATAATGAGGTGTCACGTTGATCATTCTGGGTGTCATTTTTGCAACAGTCAGTGGTAAAAAATTACGCATACATTTGGTGATAAAAGAAAATATTACTAAGTACAAAATTTCATTTATTTGTTGATTACCATTGCCGATGTACGATGGATTACAGATTAAATTTTGATTGACAACCTACTTTTGTCAAACTCAGATTCTATGTAAGGTACACAAATTTAAAATAAGCTATTTAATAAAAATGTTAAAAATATATGCTATGAAACTATTAAAAAATGCACTCTCTTACATAAGTCAAATACCATGTTCAACATTATGAATTCTCGCAGCTACACTGGGAGAGAATATCATGAACAAAATGCCTTAGCGCCAGCCAACTGTTAACGCTGTTGTAGCTTTTATCTACACTTACCGATAAATTCACTCTTATTGATTAGTTTCTATTGGCTTTAAATACAACAGCTGTGTTCTGAACTTGAATAACTTATAACAATATGGCTT